ATATACATGTATATGTACACATATGTATATATATATGTATGTATACATATATGTATGTATGCCATGCAATGCAATGCTGTGCTATGCAATGGCAGAGAAAGGGAGGGAGAAAGCCAAACGAACGCTATTTATCCAGCGTGGTTCTGTTCTTGTCGCACCCCAGCGCGGCACATTCTTCAGCTTCATTATGTGCCCTCGCATATGAAGCCGCGGGGGTAGCCGAGGAGAAGGAAGAGGAGGGGGGAGAGGAGGGGGAGGAGGAGGGAGTGGAAAGAGGAGGAGGGGCAGGAGGAGAAGGGGGAGAAGGAGAAGGAGGAGGAAGAGAAGGGAAAGGAGGAGGGGGAGGAGGAGGAGGAGGAGGAGGAGGAGGAGAGCGGCGCAATTTCTCCTGCGCAGACGCATCATGAAGCAGCTTTGCGCACCAGCACCAGCTCCTTGTCAGGCGCTGGCAAGTGAAACCCCGATGGGGCGGAGGGGAAGGGGGGGGAGGAGAAGGGGGGGGGGAAGAGGAGAAGGACGAGGAGGAGGACAAGGAGGAGAAGGAGGAGAAGGGCGAGGAGAAGGAAGAGAAGGAGAAGGAGGAGGAGGAGAAGGAAAAGAACGGAGGAGGGGGACAACAAACTTAAATTAAAACGACGGTTCGCGACTTTAGCGCGATCACCCTCCGACGAATGAGGGATTTTTTTTTTTTTTTTTTTTTTTTTTTTTTTTTTTTTTTTTTTTTTTTTTTTTTTTTTTTTTTTTTTTTTTTTTTTTTTTTTTTTTTTTTTTTTGCCTTGCCGATCCTCCTCGTCGAACTTGAACTTGAATATCGCCGCCCTGGCTGGCATCGCCTCGATATTTCTGGCGCCAGAACTCTTGCGCCGTGAGGGCAAGGCAAAGAAAACACACAGTCCTCATTTTCTTGTTGTCCTTTTCTCTCTCTCTCTCTCTCTCTCTCTCTCTCTCTCCTCTCCTCCTTCTCCTCATCCTTCTCCTCCTCCTCCTCCTCCATCTCCCCCTCCTCCTCCTCTTTCTCCTCCTCCTCCTCCTTCTCCTCCTTCTCCTCCTCCCCCCCCCCTCCCCTCCCCTCCCGCCCCCTCCCCTCCCCCCTCCCCCTTCCTCCTCCTCCACCTCCCTCCCCCCTGGCGCGGCGCTGGCAGCTTTTGGCTAGCCTGCGAGCGCCGCGCGCGAGGGGCGCCCAGCGCCAATGGCGCAGCCCGCGCGCCTCTCAGGCGGACCGCCTGGGCGAGGGGGGAGGGGGGAGCAGAAGGGCGAGGAGGGAGATTCGCAGGGTCGCAAGAGGGCCAGGGCGGAGGGAGAAAAGGATGAGGATGAGGGAATGGATGAGGATAGGAAGCGAAAGAGGAGGAGAAAGAGGAGGAGGAGGAGGAGAAGGAGAAGGAGGGGGAGGAGGAGGAGAAGGACACTATCAGCAGCGGTGCAGAGTAGTACGATCAGTCGAACGTAAGATCCGCTCTCCCCCACCCCACCCCCCGCCCTCCCACGAATTCGAAGTGAATCCAGCCGCGGCTCGATCAGCTTTTCGGGCTTCAACTGGGCCTCGATGGCAGGGAGGGCGAGCGGGCGGGGAAGGGGGTCCTCGGCCTCAAACTCGGCTCCTCCTCCTCCTCCTCCTCCTCCTCCTCCTCCTCCTCCTCTTCCTCCTCCTCCTCCCCCTCCTGCTCCTCCTCCTCCCCCTCCTGCTGCTCCTCGAGGAGACTAGTAGCAGGAGACTAGTAGCAGCAGCGGTGCAGAGGATCAGTCGAACGTGAGATCCGCCCTCCCCCCACCCTTCTCCTTCTCCTTCTCCTCCTTCTTCTCCTCCTTCCCCTCCCCCCCTCCCCCTCTTAGGTTCGCCACTCCCCCAGCCTGCCTTCATTCATCGCAGCCGTTTTGGCCGAGCTCGAGGCGAGCCGATGGGCCCGCTCTGGACTTTTCTTTCGAGTACATGTCTCGAAACTGCTGCAAAGCAGTAGACGAGTGCCGCGATGCGCTCATGCTGCACATCACGTCGAAAGACCCGTTCGAGTACGGCAGCAACCCAGGCAACGATTGCCTCGACGCGATCGCCCTCGGCCGCACCAAGGCCAACGCGAAGGTCACACACGGGGCAAACGACGTCGTCGATGGGGGCGGGAGGGGGAGAAGGGCGAGAAGGAGAAGAGGGAGGAGGAGGAAGATGGAGGGGAAGGAGGGGGCGGAGGGAGGAGGAGAAGGAGGAGAAGGAGAAGAGGAGAAGGAGGAGGGTAGATGATGACGGATAGGATGAGGACGGCGTCGAACGGCACGGCGGCGTCAAAGCCTTCTCCTCCCCGCCACCTCCTCCTTATCCTCCTGACCCTCCTCGATCCTCCTCCTACTTCTCCTTCTGACCCTCCTCGCTCCTCGCATCCCTCCTCCTCCTTCTCCTCCTCATTCCTCATTCCTTCTCCTTCTTCTCCTCCTCCTCCTCCTCCTCCCTCCTCCTCCTCCTCCCCCCCTCCTCCTCCCCCATCCCTCGTCCGTCCTCCCCCCCCCTCCCTCGGGTGCGACGACCGACGAGCGACGCCCCCCCCCGCCCAAGTTGCTGGGCGCACTTGAAGCGGTCTCGAACAACCTCGCCTTCTCGCCCGAGACGATGAGGTCCGCCTGCATGCAGATGGCTGCGCAGAAGGCGGTGTCGGGTTCCAAGCCGCAGCGCAAGGCTTGGAAGTTCGAGACCGACGAGGAGATGGAGCAGTGGGCCGACCTCATGTCTCAAAAGTGCATTGGGTGAAAGTCGCGATCAGCTCACCTCCTCCTTCTCCTTCTCCTCCTCCTCCTCCTCATCCTCATCCTCGTCCTCATCCTCATCTTCCTCCTTCTCCTCCTATCTCCCTTTCTTCCACCCCTTCCTCCTCCCCCATCCGAGCCTCCGCCCTCCTCCATCCCTGGGCCCCAACCCCCCGCGGCTCTCCTCCTCGGAGGAGGGGCGAGGGCAGGATAAGCAGGAGGGAGGAGGAGGATGAGGAGGAGAAGGAGGAGGAGGAGGAGGAGGACAAGGAGGAGGAGGAGGAGGAGGAGGAGGAGCAGGAGAAGGAGAAGGAGGAGGAGGAGGAGGAGGAGGAGGAGGAGGAGGGGGAGGAAGTCATTTTCTTGCACCATCCACAGGTTGCGCTCCATGCGCAGGCACCTGTACGACCCGCTGAGGCGGGAGCGGGACCCTGGCGCTGGCAAGCATCCGAAGTGGCTGGACGAGGTCAGAGCGTTGCAGAAGGCTGCGCCGTCTTCATCTGCTGGAGCGGCTTCATCGGCTTCGTCGGCTCCGCGCGTGCGGAAGGTCGACGCCGACTGGGGCCCGTCGACGGGCATCGCGCATCGGTGCGCGTCGTCCGAGAGCCAGGGCTTCGCGTCGTTCGAGCCGACTGGCGACGGCGACACCGACGCGATGCAGGTTCGCTGGAAGGACGGCGCGATCTCGATCTTGAGCACGCTGACGGTCGGGGCGTGGCAGGCCCTGGGGCGCGGCGAGAGCGCTGTCGCTCGGTCCGCGACGAACACCCTCGCCGTCTTCGAGGGCGCGGTCGGCACCGTCAAGGTGGAGAACAAGCGCCTGAACCCAGGCGAGGAGGGCGTCGTGCTGAAGATCAACGGCGGCCAGAAGCTCCAGCTGTCCCTCAACAAGCACAGCCACGAGAACGCGAAGACGTGGCTGATCGAGCGCGCGCCGAAGATGGCCGACGGCAGCCTCACGGTCGAGGAGGCCAAGGCGGAGAAGAAGATCTTCGACGCCAAGGCGGAGAAGAAGGTCACGGCACTGAAGAGGCCAGCAGCGGCTGCAGGAGCGCCCAAGGCCGACGCCGAGGGCGAGGACGAGGACGAGGGCGCGGCGACGGCGGCGCTTCGCAGGTCGGCAGCTTCGACGGTCGACGGCGACGATTCCGCCGACGCGGAGGAGAGCGACAACGCGTCCAACAGCGAGGACGAGGAGCCTGAGGAGCCTGAGGAGCCCGTGGCGAAGCGCGGCAAGCCAGCGGCGGTGCAGCCTGAGGAGCCCGCGCCGACGGCAGCAGCGAAGCCCACGGCAAGCGCGAAGGGGAAGGCTGCAGCCGCGAAGAGGAAGGACGAGCCCTCCGCGAGCCAGCGAGAGGCCAAGAAGGCCAAGGCAGCACATGAGCCAGGGGGCGCCGCCGATGACGCTGTCAAGATCGAGAGCTCGAGCAGCGAGAATGGCGGCGACGAGGCCAGCGACCCTGGCGGCGACCCCAAGGGGACCGACAGCTCCGAGGAGTCAGAGGCGGGCGGCATGCCGCCGCCGCCAGGCACGGGCGGCTTGGCTGGCTTCTCGTGAGGTCGGAGCCCAGCGAGTAGGGGAAGGAGGAGGAGGAGAAGGAGGAGGAGGATCGGGGAGGAGAAGGACACCGAGGGGGAGGAGGAGCAGGAGGAGAAGGAGAAGGAGGAGAAGGAGAAAGCGAGCCAGTGCAAGAGCTTTCGGGCAGGCGCTCGGCCTGCGAAGCGGCGCAAGCATCGCTCGTGCCGCGCCCTTCCGCTGAAACATATTCGGGGCTCCTTGTCCTCCTCCTCCTTCTCCTTCTCCAGTTTCACTTCTGTTCAAGCCAGTTCTTCAGCTTAGCAGCGGTTTCGGACCCAATTCAATTCAAGCGAGGACCCAAACCGATCGCATCAGCCAAGGACCCAACCCATCCCAATCCATTCAGGCCTGTTCCAGGATGACGAGGGTCAGGAGGAGGGGGGGGAAGAGGCTGAGGGTAGAGGAGGGGAGAGAGCGTGAGGGTGCGAGAGTGTAGGAGGGGCGAGGAGGAGACGGGAGAGGGTATATATAGAGAGAGAGAGAGAAAGAAAGAAAGAGAGAGAGAGAGCTGTTACAGTAGAGCAGCAGTAGACAGTCAAGGGATGAGCAGGGCTGACTGCGCGCCGCGCCAGGCGGAGCTGCTGCCGATGGCCCCCCGCCAGCGCCTGCAGCAGCGCCGCCGTCGCAGCCCCAACAGTCGGCGGATCAGTCGCCGATCGCCGTCGCCGATTGCCAGATTTCGCCCCAGGTCCACCAGATGCAGGCGCAGATCGACGCGCTTCTTGCGCAGAGGGCGATGCTTGGGATGCCGATGCCGACGAGCCCGATGCTTGGGGTTAAGCAGGATGACTTCGAAATGAAGAGCGAGGCGGGCGACGACGACGCAGCGGCCGAGGCGCTGGCAGGCGATCTTGCACAGGCTGTTGGTCCGCCAGCCGAGGAGGCAGCAGCCCCTGACGATGCAGCAGCCAGCGAGGAAGAAAGCGAGGTCCCAGCGGCGCAGGCTGATCCAACGCAGGCCCCCGAAGCATCGGGCAGCGAGGACGGGGGCGACGACCTGCCGCTGGCGCGCGCTGAGCTGGCTAGGGAGGGGGACATGTTCCAGAGGAACCAGCGTGAGCTCAAGCAGCTGCGGGAGAGGCAGGCGGAGCTGCAGCGCGTGCTCGAGATGGCCGAGGGCACGGAGCGCCGCATCAAGAAGAAGAGAGCCGACCGCGAGCAGGCCGCCAGGGATCGAGGAGCTTCTCGGATGGCTGCGTCCCTCGAGCCAGTGCCCGTCCCCAAGCGCTCTCGCGTCGACGAGGTCCTGGGGCGCGGCCGCGACACGGTGAGTACCGAGCTGGACGCCGAGTTGGCAAACGGCCCATCGTCAGCCGCTGTGACGCCAGTCCCTCGCCCTTCAGAGACGCCGCCGTCCACGCCGATGAAGCAGCCCGTGGACCAGAAGAGCGCCCTGGCTGACATCTCGAATGCGGTTGCTGAGAAGCTTAGGAATGACCCCAGTTCCTTGACAGAAAACACGGCTGGCCATAACTTCGTACCTCGTGGGCTCGACAATGTGGCCGAACAGCAAGCTGGTGAGCAGGGGCCTCATGATGAGGCGTCCACCGACGAGCTCGAGACGATGTTGGAGGAGATGAAGGGAAAGCGGGGCGCTGGTGACGTTGAAATCCGCCTCGCGGTTGCCGAGCAGAGCTACAACTTCGGCGTGCGCTCAGCCATTGGCAACAAGCTGGATCGGGACCTCAAGGCGAACCCCGCGAAGGATTTGGAGTGGAAGCAGGACAAGAGCAAGGATAAGGAAGACTTCAAGAAAAAGTGACTCTTGGAGAAGTGGAGCGAGCTGCCGACGACCAAGCGAACCTTCACCACCTCCCACACCGAGGACTGGCGCGAGAGGGGCGAGCTCATGACCTTCCTCAAGATGGCCTACGAGGAAGGGGGTCCCGCTGGGCAGACGGACCCAGGTACGCTGGAGGCTTGCATGCGCACCGTCAGGCGTTGCATTGACCTCGGGTACCCATATGCCCAGCGGGGCCCCCAGAATGGGGTCCCGAAGTTCCTCTACTTCAGGCTCATACCAGGAGAGCTTCAAGCGGGAGTGGTCGAAGACGATCGCGCACACGAAGGGGCCGAAGGCCATCGAGAACGGGAGCTCTGGCACAGCAGGTGGAAACTCAAGCGGAACGGGGAGGCCGACAGGCACAGGCTCTGGCACAGGAGGCGGCGGAGGCACTGGCACAGGATCAGGCGCAGAAGGCGCTGGCAGTGGACCAGGCGCAGGCACTGGATCAGGCTTGGGCACTGGCATAGGATCAGGCCGTGGAAAGGGCAGCGGCCGTGGATCAGGCGGCGGCGGCGCCGCGGACGTGGTGCAGAAGCAGCTCGCTACCGCCAAGAAGCTCACAGAGGCCATCAAGGGCGCGCTCTCTGCTGGCAAAGCGATGCTGGATGACATCAATGAGAAGGCTGAGTTCAAGTGGGCCAGGACCGACGAGGTGGAGGGCTTGATGGACGCCAAGGAGCAGGCGCTGCGCACGGCCGCGAGGAGCATCGCGCTGGCTAGCATGCTGATGTCGAACACGGAGCTGGCGCAGGCGACCGATTGAACAGGATAGGATGAGAAGGGGGGATGCGGAGAAGAAAGAGGAGGAGGAGGTGAGGGGGTGAGGAGGGCAGCGGCGAAGTGGATGATGAGGGTGAGGCTGAGGATGATGAGGAGGAGGAGGAGTGGGAGGAGGGGGAGGAGGGGGGGCAGGGGAGGGGGAGAAGGAGTAGGAGGAGGAGGAGGAGGGGGAGGAGGAGGGGGGAGGAGAAGGAGGAGAAGGAGGAGGAGGCGGACCCCTCCGCACCCAGGTGAGGCAGCGGCTGTCCGCCAAAGAGATCAGCTCGCAGTCGGCGGAGATCAGCAAGCTCGAGGACGGCCGCCTGCAGGGGAACGGTGCGGGTGGGAGGGTGAGAAGGCAGATGATGAGGAGGAGGGGGTGGAGGGAGTGGGAAAGGGTGAGAGTAGGAGGGGGAGAAGGAGGGGGAGGAGGAGGAGGAGGAGGAGGACGAGGAGGAGGAGGAGGAGGAGGAGGATAAGGAGGAGGGGGATAAGGAGGGGGGGGGAGGGGGGGGGAAGGGGGGGGGGGGGGGGAGGGGGGGGAACGGGGGAAGGGGGAAAGGGGGGAGGAGAAAGGGAAGGAGGAGGGGGAGGGGGAGAGAGAAGGGGGAGGAGGAGGAGAAGGAGAGGAATGAAGAGAGGAGGGGAGGAGGAGCAGGAGGGGGAGGAGGAGGAGGAGGGGGAGGAGGAGGTGGAGAAGGAGGAGTGGGAGGGGCAAGGAGGAGAAGAAGGCGAAGGAGGAGGAGGAGAAGGAGGAAAGGGATGAGGGAGGGGGCAAGGGGAGGAGGAGAAGGAGGAGAAGGAGAAGGAGAAGGAGGAGAAGGAGGAGGAGGAGGGGGATCCCATCCCTCCTCCTGGTCATCCATCCCTTCTCCTCCTCTTCCTCTTTCTCCTCCGCCTCCGCCTTCTCCTCCTCCTCCTCCTCCTCCTCCCTATTCCTCCTCCTCCTTGTCCTCCTCGTCCTCCTCGGCCGCTGCAGGATCCCGTCGGCTCCCTGAATGCTCTCGTTGCGAAGACCCACCGCGTGCACAATCTCATGGATCTCAAGGGCGGCGACGCTGGCAGCAGCGCGGGCAGCTCGCGCAAGAGGAAGAAGCAGGCTTAGGTAGGTTCTCAGATCGTCAAACCTGCAAGGGGGTGAGATGCAGAAGAGGAGGCTGCTGAGAGGGAGGGTGAGGAGGAGGTGGAGAAGGTGTTCTAGGGGCAAACGAAGGGCCCATGCGGGCCCAGGAAGGAGGGGGGCAGGGTCCGACGAGCCAGGGGCTGCCTCGACTGTTTGCGTCAAGCCAGGGGTGACCAGAACACTAGGAGTCACGATTGCATGGGCAGCTGCGGCGACCGCATGGGCAATCCGCGGCGCCGATATGGGTCACATGGTGTTGCATTCAGAAAATAACCGGCAGATTACATGAAAATCACACCCAGATCGATCACTGATCTGATCACTGATCTGATCACTGATCTGATCACTGATTTGATCACTGATCTGATGCGTTTACCCGGTTATTTATCAGGGATCGTACACTGATCCGATCACTGATCCGATCACTGATGGTTCACTGATCCTTTGCTGATCCTATAAAAACATCCCGACCCCCCCTCCTCCCCCCCCGAACCCCACCCCGACGCCCTCCCGACGCCCTCCGAACCACCCCCCCCCCCCCCCCCCCACACACCACCCCCACCACCACACCACACACACACCACCACCACCACCATCAACCACCATCACCACAACCACACACCACACACCCACACTCACTGCCAACACACACACACACACACGACCCCTCCGAAGCTCCCGACACCCACCGCCGAACCCCCTCCCCCCCCCCCCCCCCCCCCCCCCCCCCCCCCCCCCCCCGACGCCCTCCCGACACCCTCCTGACACCCCCTCATCCTCCCTCTCCTCCTCATCCTTGTCCTCCTTGTTCACCCCTCCCCCCTTTTCTGACTGAGTGCAACGCCATTCCCGCCCGTTTGAAGGGCAGCAGGGGCTGCCTTCCAGCCCTTGGGGAACGCATCCGAGGCGACCGCCTGGATGCAGCTCCTGGCGCAGCGCGAGAGCAGTGCGCTAGCGAGCTTCGGGTGACACGGCGTCCCCTTTTCCTCCACCTCCTGCTTGGAGGGGAGGGGGGGAAGGGGGGGGGAGGAGAAGGAAAAGGAGGAGGAGGATCGAGGAGGAGAAGGAGGAGGAGGAGGAAGAAGAAGAAGAAGATGTCCCTGGCAGGATGAGGAGGAGGAGGAGAAGGAGAAGGAGGAGGAGGAGGGGGGGGAGGAGGGGGGGGAGGAGAAGGAGGAGGATGAGGGGAGAGGGAGGAGAGGGAGAAGGAGAAGGAGGAGAAGAAGAAGGGTGGGAAGGATGAGGAGGAGAAGGAGGAGGAGGAGGTCTGAGGGATAAACAGACTCCTCTCTCCTCCCTCGCCGCGCCGTCGTTGCCTGCTTCGACTGCATCGGGCAAGGGGCTGCGTTCCGTCGAAGGTGCAGGCCCCATGGGGCCGCGAACCCGCTTTCCCAGGGGACCGAATCTGGCTCAGATCGACCCCATGGGGTCCGAATTTGCGCTGGCGGCTGCCCCGCCCCTCCCCCCTGGAGTCGCAGCTGGCGCTACCCTCCTGCCCCTTTCTCAGGCCTGCCCTGCTGGGAGCACGCCGAGCTACCCTTGCATCCTGAACTCTACAGCGCCAACCCCCTTCAGGACCTGGATTTCTGGGAGGGACATCACCATGGGCCCCCGGGGCCGCCCGTCTCATGGGACGCCGCAGGCGCCCGAGGTGATTGCATCTCGATTCGCGGCGGCTCCGTAGTAACTGGCTCGAGCGGGTACCATGTTTAAGCGGGGGCGAACTATCAGTTCCGCGCCAGATGATAGCGATGCAATTCGATATGCCGAGAAGCGCCTAGTGGATTTACAAACAATGTATTGCCAAGGCGAGATGACTGCTAAAGCATTATGTACTTTGGCACATACGGCATGGATGGCGGGGGCCCGATCTGACAATCTTAAGAGCTGGGCCCTCCCAAAGGGCCAGTCCAGTGGGCATTACCAGAGACTCATCGACACTAGAATTGAGGAGCTCAACATTACACGCGTAAAGCCATTAACGTTGTGTGTGCCAGGGCAGTCAAGGGTTCGGCGTCGACGGACGGACCTTAGGGCCCAAGTAAGACCGATGCACGAATTGCTTCACGAAGAGATGTACGATATATATGGGTCTCGAAACGAAATGCGACAAGCCTTGCAGAACACAGAGCAGCCAGCGATTTACCATCAACACAAAGTTGTGAGGGATTCGTCTGGTGATGACATCGTTTTGCCATGCGCTGTATATTTAGACTCTGCTCAGTTTGGGGGCGCCGCGGGCGCTGGGCGAACCAAATCACAGCTCGTGGTTTCGTTGATCAATATGTTGACGAGGCGCCGACATGTTTCGATAAGTTTCAGAAAACACCTCCAGTGTAAGTGCGGATGCCACGGACATTGCTCAACGTACCCACTGTTTGGTTTCATTCGTTGGTGTATCGATGCGCTCGCTGAGGGCGCGCATCCAGATCGGCACGTCAGCGGGCGCGGCTGGCTTCCAGAGGATGGGTCTCGCGGTGATTTGGCGGGCCAGCCTTTTGGGATAAAAGCAGCAATATTATATATCATGGCCGATTGGGAGGCCATCGCCAGTTCGTTCTGCGTTCCGTCCTGGTCCCACCATTCGTACCCGCGCCCTCTGTGCGACGCGTCCATCGACACCCTCCACGAATACAGGACCCGATTGTTTCCGATGGGGAGAGGATGGGGGGGGGGAAAAGATGAGGAGGAGGATGGCATGGAGGGAGGGGTGGGGGTGGGGGGGAAAGGCCCGTTCAGGGCCAGCCTGTTCTCCGGCAGGAAATGCCACGAAATCCCGCGGGACCGCCCCTCCCCCTCCCGCCTTTTACCCCTCTCCCAGATCTTAAACAATCTCAGCCTGGTTCGGTCATCGACGGCGCCGTGGACCGCGCGCGAAGTCGGCGCGCACGACCGCGCGACAGATCGGGCAAAGGTCTGGGTCTATCTCGTTTCGGAGGCCGATCGGGGCAAGCTGGTTTCAGGGACTGATTTGTATTTCAACAGGCGTGATGGTGGGAAGGGGCTCACAGTTTCACGGGAGTTGCCGTCTATCAACCATGCCCGCTCTGTGCTGGAGGTTGGAGACGTGCTCATGCCACAGACGGGGCTTCCAGGTATAGCTAGCTACGCAGTAATGCCAGCGCCTGGGTGGTATTATTTCTGGAGGCCTTCAAAGGCCACGCTGGCGACAAGGCCAAATGATATGCTTAGTGCTCTTATCGGTGTGACAATATCAGGTTCCATGGCAGTTGAGTGTCTGCACACTGTCGCTTTGTTCGATCATTCTGGAGACGGTTTGGAGAGCCGTTGATTCGGATTTCTTTTGTACGCATGATATGGCGAAGAGCATGCGAGAACAGATCGTATTCGACAAGATTATGGTGCATCTCGACAGCTGGTATGTTGAACAGAAGCGTCTTAAGCGGAACCCTGATCAGATAAAACCTCAATCCTTGGGGATTGTCAGATCTGCCTCGAGCCCTGCCCTCAAGTCTAAAGGAGGGGAGTCCGCGTGGTTATTCGAGTGGTGTGCGACGTCTTTCTTGCCAGAGCATGCTCGGTATTTATCGAATGGGGCTGGGTTGCTGGCGTCTGCGCGAGCTCTGTTCGATTGGAGCCAGTACCTTCGGACCTTGCCTGATGTGCCCAACTTGGATCAGTGCAGGAGACTCGAGGAGATGGCACTCCGACATTTGATATTACTCGAGGGGGCGAAAGTGCCTCTCAAGCCGAAGCACCACCTGTTCTGGCACCTCACAGAGAGGACCTCGGGGACCAAACGCGCCAACCCCACCCGTCGCCGCGGCTGGATCGCGACAGAATTCTGGCTCTCACATCGGAGCTCGATCGAGCCGACCCTGGGAACACTCGTCGCCACGGCTGGGACC